ATTATAACTTTAAAATTATATAGTATTTTTTATAAATAAATAAATTTCAACAGTAATCATAGAATTATATTATAGCTTTATAATGTCACAATTTTTTAGTTTATTTTCACCAGTTATTTCATTTTTTAAATTTTCAAATAATAATAATAATAATAATAATAATAATAATATTATTAATAATAATAATAATAATACCAATAATAAAAATGACAATAATAAAAATGACAATAATAATAATATTAATAAAAATAATTTTAATCAAAAAAACAATGATAATAAAAATAATATCAATAATAATAATAATATCAATGATAATAATAATATCAATTATAACAATATTAAAAATAATAACAATATTAATAATAATAATAATAACAAATACAATATGGCCAATAATAACATTAGTAATACCAATTCATTACCATTAGCTCCACCATTTAGACCAAACTCCACCCAATCACAAAATTCAAACCAATCTATCTCACCATATAACTCTCCAATGTATAATAGATATAATAATACTGAAAATAATAACAACAATAATGAAATAACCAAAATTCAAAATGACACCATCAATGGTACTGATATTAGCTCCCAAGATTTCAATGGAGACAACCATATCATCAATAAAACTACAATCACTACAACTACCACAACCACTACAACTACCACAACCACTACAACTCATTCCAAAAATGACAATTACTCAGAATCAACAGTACCATCAGAAAACTATCCAATTTCCGATTCAAATTCAAAATTAAAAAGGAAATTATCTGATTTATATAATTTAGAAAATTATCCAAGAGATCCAAAGAGATAAAAAAAAATTAAGAAATGATTCTGATTACCAAACCGATATTCCACCAACTATCCATTCAACAAAAAGTGCCACAGAAGTTAATGTAGCCCAAAAAGAAGAAATAAAAGAAAATATACATAATAGTTATAATATTCAAAACAACATCGAAATTTTTTTAATTAATTTCGAATCAGTAAAAATTGACGTAATCCAACAAACTTTAAAGTCGGAAAGTCATAGAGAAAAAATATTTGCCATTAACTTAATAGACCATTATATCTCAGATGATGATTTATTAAAAAAATTGGCTTGTTGTCAAAAGGATAGTATTTTATTCAATTTATTAGATTTTATTTTTACAGAAAAGGAAAAGAAAAGTTGTACAGAACTTGCAGAAAAAAAAGCTTGCACATTATTTTCAAAAATTGTAATCAAAGAATGGTTCAATGAAGAATCATTAGAAAATATTGAAAAGTGGATTAGCTCACTTTTCAAAATGTTATTAGACCCAAATAAATCTTCAATTAATAAAATAGAATGGGTTGTAAAAATCTTTGGCCAGTTCGATAGAATTAAATATGAAAATGGTTTTAATTCAATAAATAGCAGAAAGCAAATGGCAATCGATAAAATTTTTAATGTTTTAATAGAACTTCTTAAAAATCTTATTGATTCAAGAAAAAAATATTTAGATAGTCCACAAAAATCTACTTATGCTGCACTATTAAATGAAACTATTGATTCAATTTATTCATTATTTAGTTTGGTTAGTGGTTCAACTCGTTCAAAAAACTTACAAATTGTTTTAAATCTCTTTAACAGAGTAAATTCTCCAAAATCTTTTGAAGTCAAAAAGTTTTTGGTTAATTTAATTCCATTTTTTGAATTTAATGATTTGGTTATGGTTTTGGAATACTTCAACTCAAGCCACAAAAAGCTAATTTCAAGTGGTAACTCTAATAGTCCAATAGATGCTCAATCCATTCAATTATTCTTTTCAAATATTTTAGTAATTGTGGAAAGAATTGAAAAAGGTGGATATAATAACGAAGAATTGGATATTATAAGAAAACTAGTTGAAGAATCCATCAAGTTTTCTGGAATTATATGCTATGATAATACTATCAGTTTTTTTGAAAAGATGTACTCCAATGTATTAAATATTGTTGAGAAAAAAGATAGATCTCTCAAGCTCATTTCAATTAAATGGTGTTTGTGCTGCCTTAAAAAATCGAGCCCAAATTCAAGATTAGATTTATTTATTTCCAAATTAGAATAAAAAATTATAGAAAATACAATAGAGAATTGTCATTTATTTAATCTAATTCATCATTTTTCAGTTTCAATTTCTTAAAGTCTCTAATCAAAAATTCGGTTTTTGTCCGTCAAACAATAAAATCAACGTGCACCACAATCATTGGGGTATCTGTCAATATTAACTTTTCTTTAAATGCCCAAAATCATTAAATTCAACCACCTCAGTACTTTAACGGAGTCACATCAACAACCACACTCATAGCCATAATCCAACCTAACAACGACACTTTACCACCATTGTACAACTCATTAAAAACACTTGAATAGTTTTAAAACCTTGGCAAACACAATCAATTATAATCACAAGTAAGTAAATATATTAAAACTATAATAACCAACCAATATAAAAATGGGTGTTGTGAGGAAATAAAAAAGATATAAACATAATTACTAACCAAACTACTATATTTGTTATTAATCTAGATTAGTTGTATATTCAAACCTATTATTTTTTCATTAAATGGGAATGAATGAACCAAAGAGAATTATATAATTACTCCAAAAAAAGAATCATCAAATAATAGAAAAATAAACAATTAGTAACAATTCAAATAACCACTATTATTTTTATTTAATTTTATAAAAATTATTACTATTCAAACCATCTATTAATTATGAAAATTAAACAAATTACAATCAGTATATTTCAATAAGTTCAATTCAGAGATATTTTTATATATTATAATTTTTAAATAAAGATTAAAGATTTTTTACATATTTTAACTTTTAATTTATTATCTATTATAATTTTAAAAAGGAAATTAAATTAAATATTTTAAAAATAAAAATTTACTATTCTTTAATTTTATTTTTTAAATTTATTCTTTAAAAATTACACCCTTCTTGAAAGTTCTTTAATCACCAGATTACTTATTTTCTCAGTTAAAATAATGTTTCATATACTTCTTATTTTCTTTATTTATGGTGTATTCATAATTAACTAATCATATTTTTTCAACTCTATAGAAAACAGTTCAAAAAAAGTTAAATATAATTTTGTTAGTGATTCAGGTAGTGAATTAAATGTTGGAACTAAAGTAAATAACCATCTGTTATGTAAGTGTAATTTGTAATATTTCAGTAATCATATGATTAGGGTTTTCTTCATAGTAATGAGGTGGTTGAGAGCCTGAGGTACTTCGGTGGCGGTGAAGAGCAAAGAAATTGTTATAAACTTACCAACACTACTTCAAAGAAAAATTTTAAATAAATACTATATATTTTATCAATTAGATTTTTTTTAAAAAAAAAAACAAATAAATAGTTTTTAAATTCCTTTTATTTTTTTTAAATTTATAATTTTTTTTATAAAATTATAAAAATATAAAATTAAAATTAAAAATGGTAAATTTGTTATTGAAATTAAAACCCCATTGGAATAAAGAGATGAGTTACTTGATATTAAGGTTGAATTTAAAATTAAATAAAGTAAAAGATTGGTGATATTTAAAATGATTTCGAAATTATATAACTTTGTATTTCTTTGTGGTTTAAAAGAGAAATGAAGTAATGTATATGCACTCTGTATTGTTATTATTATTAAAAAGTAATAATAAGGTAAATATACCATTGAAACCACTAAAAATGAAATTATTAAATTTCTAAAAATAATTATAAAATCCCACCATCTATATTTTGCTTTATAAACATCTCCTGTTATTGACGCTGAAGTTGATGAGTTATATAGTTTGGAAATATTGGGGTTGTAGAATAATTTAATGATATATATTAAAATTAATGCACCTGTTGAATATTTTAAATCTATTGAATTTGAATTTATACTATTATCATTAAAATTATTATTATAGTTATAATTTTGATAGTTGTTAATATTGATACTATTATTATTGTTGCTATTATTATCAAATATATTATTTATACTGTTATTATTATTATCTAATTTCTTTTTTTTTATCTTCTTTGTTATTAAACTATTTGTATTTATTTTCTTTTCAAATAAATGTGAAAAGAAACAATTTATAAATAGTTTTAGTGGTATGAAGAATGCAAAAAAAAGTAATAAAATGATTGAGGATGAAAATAATATCATATGAAGAGGAGTGGAGTTGAATTCGTATGAGAAATCTATTGATAAACCTGTAAATGAATGTACTTTTTTTGGTATTATTGTTGATATTATTATAAAAAATATAGGTTGATGCATTATTAAATAATAGTTGTAGTATTGCTTAATTCTAATAAAACTCCTGTCGTATTTTCCTTCGCCAATGTCTGTACCCATTCCACTTGGAATCCCTGAAGAACTTTTATTAATCCCAAGAAATTTAATCATATCATAGTTGTCTAAATTGGTTTTCATTTCTTTCGATAAAGATGAATTAACTATTCCACTAAAGAAAAGGTTTTTTCTTAAAGAGTTTAATATAACGTATGCTATATCACTAAGACCAAAAACGGTTATAAAAACCAATGAGATGATGGATACCAATAGTTTGTAGACAGTGTTGATTCGTACTGTGCAATAATTGAATATAAAATCCATAGATATCCTGAAAAGTGGTAAAATATAAAGGCCTGGATATGAATAGAATATAATTGAGTTGTACTGAAGTAGCATTATCACAACACCTGTTAATTTTGTATTTACATTTGATTTATATAACGAGATTATAAAAGTGAGAATCAAAATAAAGGCTATGTATCCAAATAAAAGTAATGGTTGAACATTTTGACAGCAGTTTAGAGCATTCTTTGAGATGGATGGACCTATACTTGGATCGTTGGTGCATTTCGAGCAATATGGACTATCTGGATCGTATTGGGAGGTTGGACATCTATTTATGCTTTCCTCCGAACCTTCTAAACATAACCCTAATGGACATGGCTCTGTAAATATAAATGTTTCAATCGAGTTTAAATTAAAGACATGGAAACCAAAATTGGCACCTATTTCACTTCCTAAACAATGCATATTATTTGGACAGTCTACACATTCCTCTTTGGTATAGTCATAAATCTTGTTGAAATCGCAATAGTTGCAAACATCATTTGAATAATATTGGAAAAAATTGCATGGAATACCTGATGTATAGTTTGGGTTATAATATTCTAACTTTAAATCTGGGATGGAAATATTTAATGAATATACTTGACTTGATAGATTGGTATTTACTGGTATGTGGAAAATACTTGTATCAAATGATGATTGCCCGCCTCTAATTAGAACTGTAAATTTGATTGGATCAAAAGTATCATTACCAATTGTTTTTTGAATAGAAACGGTAGTTGGATAGATCTGAATTGAAACTAATTGTGAATATCTATCTAACAAAGCAATATAGATTAATTTAACTATTGGTTCTGAAACTTTAAGAAAACTTGGTTCTGTATATAGTAATAAAAAATTAATACTTTTTTTCACTACAATTTTTTTATTAAACAAATATTTAATATTTACCTGATGCAATAATATTACCATAGATTGAAGAATTGTTTAAAAATATATTACTGTCATTCTTATCTATACTATATTTGAAACCATTTGTATAAAATACACCACCAGAACCTAAACATTTATTTTTGATGAACACATTATTTTCCAGTTTCACTATGTTGGTCAAATGATCTAAATTCATAACCCCACCATTGAAAACTACAAAATTCTCATTAAAAATTGAATTTTGAATCTCTAATAACGAACCAGTTGAACCTATTGAGCTTTGTTTTGATGTTGTTTTCGAAATTTCGCTTGAATTCATTTTTAAAGTGGACTCAATTAAATTAATTAAAAAACTATCAAAATTGACAGTATTATTATAGAAAAAAACTTGATTGAGATCAACTTGACAATGACCTTGAATTGAAAACAAATTATTATTAAAAATTGAATTTGATACAAACTTTGAATTAGAAATTGAAACTTTTGATCTATTTTCACTATATAAAATATTTGGTATGTTACTATTATCTATAAACTCTACATTATTTAATATTGCCACCGAATCATTTGAAATTTTGAAAAAGTAAATGCCACTGAATGAAATTTGGTTAAATGAAAAATCACTTAATACCAATGTTGATGAAAAGACTGAAATAAATGAATCTAGTTGAAAAACCATAGGATAGTTATCTGATTTGAAATTAAATTTTGAAAGAGTAATAAAACTTGAACTGTATGCTAATAATAGGGATCCTTTATTAGCTGAAAAACTAGTTCCTTCCATAGATGCCACAGAACCATTCAGTTTGAAAAAAACATTATAAGACGTTCCTGTTACTATATTATTTGATAAAGTTATGGTGGAGCCATTGACAGCGGAAAAGATAGTAGTTGCTAATATATTTTCAAAATTGCTATCCTCTAAAAATAGAGAAGAACCATCCATTAATGTGAAAACACCGTTTTGAGAACGGAGAAATTCGATATTTATACCCTTGACAGAGGCCACACTATTATTCAAAGAAATAAAAGTTTCTTCTAAATTAAAGTTTAGCGTTTGAAAGTTTTCAATGTAGACCGTTGACGATATTGCATGTATAAACTCTGATTCTTTTAAAAATATACCGGTGGCATTTGAATCTATAAAAATTAAGTTTGAATTTTCCAATTGAATCGTTGGAAAGGGAGTATAAACATTTTCGAGATATAGAGCTATGATGGTAATATTTGAATTTTTGGCCACTATCGCTTTGGGTGTAGTACGGATATCACAATCATATAACGTTATATTTGACTGATCCATAATCATTAGAGTCGATTCTGTTTGATCCACAGAAAATAAACAACCATTGCAATAAAAGGTAGAACCCTCTTTAAATTTGAATAGGTATTCTCTAATTGCTCTCGATGCATACACAAACAAAGCATAACCTGTAATATTCATCTTTGGGATATACATACCCTCAACATTTTGAAAAACAACTTGGCTGAGATTTAAATAGTTGTTTTCGGTTTCTATAACCAAAGGCAAACCAGAATAATAATATGTGAGTGATGAAGAGGACAGGGTTACATTTGATACACCACCGCGCAAAGTAAAAAGGCTCATGACACCACTATTGAAATAAATATTGTCAAGATACATCAAACTACCATGACAGTCTAAAAATGTTATACCCTCCATATAAGAGATAACCATTTCTAAATACGCGCTGCTATTTCTTAAAGTTATAACTGGCCCCATAAAACTCCATCCTTTGATTAAGGTATTTATTATCTCTACCGTTGCACCATCTCTAGCCTCTACTAATGAATTGGAAATTTGATCATATGTTGAAAGTATTTTAGATTTATTTATTTTTATATAACTATTCTCGGTTATTAGTGGGAATATGTAGTTTTTATTATCATTAATTGTATTATTATTTATACTGATAAGGAAATTAACTATGCAATCATTTATATTAATTTTGTTGTTACTATAATTTATATCGTTATTGGTTGGTAAAATAAATAATTGATAAAATTTTGAATTTAAAAAACCTAACTCCATGCCTCTAGATGGCATTATATTAATTGAAGATATATTACAATTTTCTACTAAAAATGTTGATTCTATTATTTCAAGTTGAATATTATTTACACTAGATGAACTAAACTCCAGTACTGAATTTTCTAATATAATTGTCTGTGAATATATATTATTACTATTATATATATTATTAATATTAAGTAATGAATTATTAAAATATAAAAAACTATTGAATTGTAAAACTATTAAATTTGATACAGTCGTCGATGTGTTATATATGAAGTTTATATTATTTATTATTAATGTTGAATTTTCTAAAGCAAGATTAAAATTTATTATATTTATATTGTTTATATTATTTTTTATTGGTTTATTGTTAAAATTATTAAATATATTGTTTTTTAAACAATAATCATCTAAATTATTATTATAATCTGAAAAAACTATATTTTGATGATCTTTTAAAATAAAATTACTACAATTACTACAATCATATTCGCCGCTGCCTATGTATACATTTATTTGATCGTAGTTTAAAGTTCCATTGATTGCAAATAGTACTTTACAAATGCTATAATAAGGAAACTCTATTGTTCCATTATTACCATCATTGCCATTTTTACTAACGTATATATTTGAGCTATTATTATTATCATTATTACTTTTATAACTATTTTTATAATTTTTTAAAAAAATATCCTGTTGGTTTGTAAAAATACAATTATTAAAAAGTAAAATTATTATTATTAAAGTTGATATTTTAATGATCATTTAACAATTTCTTTTGAAGGTATCAATAAGAAATCTTCTTTTATTCGATTACATAAAATGTGTGATATTTATTTAAATAAAAAAACAATGAAAAAAACTTTGAGAATTAATGGTCGTATTTTTTAAAAAAAAAAAAAAAAATCAAAAAAATAATTAAATGGTTTTTTTTTTTTTTTTTTTGTTGAAAAATATTATAATATTTTTATTTCTATTTAATAAAATGAATATTATTATTATTTTTATTATTATTATTTTTGATGTCTATATTATGTGATATTTTTTATTGAAAAAGAGAAAGCTAGTAATTCCAACAATTGGTATTAAAATTAAAGATGCCCATTTTGTGACAACGGACCAAGAAGAATCTGAAGATTTTTTATTTGATGGTTGAACACTTTCTAATTCATTCAAGTTGATATTATAATTGGTCCATTCTTTAACCATACCTTTGATATGACCTTTTCCAACTACAGCAACAATTTTTTTTCCAGGACACATTCTAAGACGAGCAGCCATATATTGGTCACGTTCAGTAACAATAGTTTGAACAACAGATGGAAAACGATCACGAAATTCGTTAAGCAATTCGTCAATCAATTCATCCGAGTTATTGTTGATTTTATCGATATCTTCGTTGGTAACTTCTGAAAATGATGCCATAAATAAATAAAATACAAATTTGAGTTTTTCCCAAGTGCTTAATGAATTCCAAACACGTTGCAATGTTATTTCAATTAATCTATCACCTAAAACTACTAAGGAACCAACTTTTTTAGCTTCTACAAAAGCAGTGATAAACTCTGACCCTGGATTAACATTACTCTTTTTACCTGCGCTTCTAATTAGTTCTGCCATTAAAATATGTAGTAGTCCTGATAACCCATGTGTTTTAACTATATTAATCATATCTTTAAGTGTTGCTGGTTCGTCTGAAATATATTCATCTTCAGTTGGAGTTGGTGGTGCATTGGTTGTGTGTGGGGTTGTAGTGTTTGAATAGGGTGATGGTGAATTGGATCTTTCGTCATCTGCTTCTGAGTAATTGCTATTATAATAATCAACATTAAAACTTTTAACCGAGCCCTGTTCTTGTTGTAATTGTTGTAATTGTTCTTGTTCTAAAATTTGATGTCCTTGTTCTGAATTCGTCGAAATTGATGATGAATAAATTTCATTTATAGGTATTGATATACTATTATCTTTATTTGAGCCATTACTATTATTACTACTATTACTATTCATATTCATATTTTTATTTTTATTATTAAAACTATTATTATTTAAACTATTTAAATTATTATATAAATTAAAACTATTATATTTATAATCTTCATTATATAAACAATATGAAGTCTTTTTTGGTGAATTTATTATATAACTATCATTATTATTCGCATTATTTAAACTATTCATTATATTATTCATTAAATTCATATTATTTTGTTGAGTTATTGTATTATTATTGCTACTACTATTCCTTATACTATTAAATTTACTATTATCATAATCAAATTCGAAACCATAATAGTCATCATCTTCATCATCATCTTCATCATCTTCCTCTGTACCTGAAGTTGAAAATAGTTCGTTATCCTCTTGTGTCATATCCTCTATATCTATATCTGCTAACTCTGTTTCCATTTTGATTTTACTTCCTGAACTAAATTGATCCTCGTCCTCCCAACCAGAATCTGTTAGAAATGTTCTGCTATAGTGTTGCTTTGATCTATTATCTAAAATTTTTTTTGAAGATGCTCTAATTCTACTATGTGATGGTGTTAACATTAACCCTGCTCTACTTTGACATAACTCTATAAATACTGTATCTGGTTTCCAATTTTTAATAACATTTGAAACGTCATCTGATGATCCTTTATATATATGAACTGAGCCTACCAATATAACTATATTTTAAATAATTATTAATATTAATATATATAGCAATAATAATTATTTCCAATGTAGTTATTTCACTTACTTGTTGATTGAGTTATTGGTGAATGTAGTATAACTGCAGATGAGGGTAATTCGAAATCAATATTATCGCTTGGTAGTGGTGTTAGTGTTGGTAATATTGTACTACTATCATTATTTTCTAATATATTTTTAATACTATTATAATCACTTTCTTTCTGATTATCCTGCTCCGTTACAAAACTATTTAGGTCTATTTCTTTTGTTTCATTTTCTATTTGTTGGTGATGATTTTTTAATGAACTGAGGTCTATATATACACTATTATTATCCGTTGTTGACATTTGATTACTATACAATGTTTTTTTTCTCTTTATTTTCTCTTGTTTTTTTTTTTATTTTTTTCTTTTTTTTTTATTTATTTATAATTTTAAAAAGTTATATTAAATATTGATATGTATTATTTTAAAAATAAAATATTTTTTTTTTTTTTTTTTTTTTTTTTTTTTTTTTTTTTTTTTTTTTTTTTTTTAAATAGGAAAGGATTAAAATAAAAAGTGGTTTAAAATTATACTATTTTTATGTATGTAAGTATATGTATTTATTTATGTATTTATGTATTTATATATTAATTAAATTCTATGTTTGATTTTTAACCACTTGATTTTTTTCTTTATTTTTCTTTTATATTATACAAAAAATTAAAAAAAAAAAAATTTAAAATTTAAAATTTTATATATTTAAAAAAAAAAAAAAAAACACACAAATAATTTTGAATTAATATAAATTATTATATATTATTATTTTTATTATTTTATAATTTAAAAAATTAATAAAAAAATTTTGAAAATTAAAATTTTTATTTTTTTTTTTTTTTCATTTTTTTTAATTTATTTTTTTAATTTATTATTTTTTTTATCATTTTTGCAATTTTGCAATTTTGTTTTACATATACACACCAAATTTACATGAACAAAAAAAAAAAAAAAGAAAAGATTTTAAAAAGGGGGCACTTATTTCTTAAAAAATAACAAAATAAATAAAATTAAATATTGTATATAAATTTAGAAATCAATTTCAAATTTACCACACACTTTTATTCACCCCGTTCACACTCCCTCTTAATATTATTTAAACAATATGTCAAAAAATTAAATATTAATAATTTTATTATAATAATAAATAATAGGAGTAATAATAATAATAAAGACAATAATAAAAATAAGAAATTTCTCCCTTATAATAATAGTTTCAAAAATCAAATAAAAAAAAAATGCAAGTAGCTTTATATATCCATAGACAAAATTGGTTATTTTTTATTATTACTCATTAGGATATAAATCAAATACGAGTTCCATATCAGTCCACCAATCAGTTTCTTTAGCCTCGGATATCTTTTGTTGAAACTTCCTCATTAGAGAATCCCACTCTTGTGCTTTAGGTTCTACTGCATACGATTGGTAATTTTCAGGTGTAAAATCGGGTACAGTTTCGTAATACATAAACAAATGATTACCAACTAAAAAAATCTTCATCTTGGTTATACCTATTTTTTTCAAAGCATCGGTAACCTCTGGCCATACAGATTTATGAAAAGTTTTCTGTATTTAGAGAAAATAAATAAATAAATAAATAAATAAATAAATAAATAAATAAATAAATAAATAATTATAAATATAATAATTTATATTAATTATTAAATTAAATACCTACATATTCATCAATTAATTCTTTGTCATTTTTTAAATCTAATGCTTGAGCAAAGCACTTGTATTTCTGATTACTCATTTTTTATTATTAATATTATTATAGTTACCAAAAGATGTATAATTTTATATTGCAATATTTTTATATAGTAACCCCTTTTTAAAAAAAAATTAAAAAAAAAAAAAAAAAAAAAAAAAATTAATCAAGAAAATAATAATTTGAAAATTTTTATATACAATTTTATTGATTTACAATTTTTTTGATTTAAATTATAATTTATGATTTAATTTAATAATTTTTGGTATGGTTTATGATTAATGATTACGATTTATTATTTATGATTGATTTTCTAAAATCCAAGGTTGGTCATCATTATTATAAAAATTTGATGGTATGGTAAATGGAATATGTTCATACCATTCGGGCAGAGAACTGTCATTTAATGAACTATTGGGATTTGTGAATAGTACACCAATTTCATAATTTGAAATTTGAATTTGTGTTTCATTTTTTTGAAAAGCACCCCAAGCAGCCTAATATTATTAATAAAAAAAAAAAAAAAAGTATTAATATTAATAAAAATTAACAACTAACAACAACCAATAATAATTACAGATGAAAAATTATGGCTACCAGCATAAACCCAATCATATTTAATATTTGATCTTTGATTTAATGTATCTTTTAAGGGTTTGTTTAGCCTTGTTGAAGTACCAACCAAAACCTTACTGTGATAAACTAAATGCTTTCTATAATCGTATTTTGGCGATAAATAGGAAAAGCATGATTTATCGTTATTATAGTTTTTATTTGATAAAAATAGGCAACCTGCATGTTGTAATCGATGATCGTTTGATTTTATCCATTGATCTGTTGGGTAAATTATATGAAGTGGTTTATCACTATTTTCGATGCTGGGACTGAGATGTTTTACGAAATTATTCCTAAAGTTTCCTTTTTCACCGCCAATCGATGAAGCTTGATAATAAAAATCTCTAACACAATGTTGGTTATTTTTATCTAAAACTGTGTAATCTGTAGTCTCATCTTGATTTCTATAGTACTTCTTTAAAACACTTTCCAATTTATAAATTCCCATTAAAGGTTTATCAGATTCTATAATACCACTGCCTGCTCCATCGTGTTTATAAAAACCTGGTACTGAAATAATCAAATGTGCTGAAGCTTCTGAAAAATCATATTCGTCTAAAAATTTAACTGATGGACAACCGATACTTGCTAAAAAATACTTTAGTGTTTTTAAAAAGTCATTATCTTTTGATGGTGTTGCTTGTTTTGGTGCTTTTTTTATTTGGAAATCTTGAAACCAGATAGTTTGGTTTAAACTATCGTAATCTAGTTGTGTCGGGTTGCTCGATGGTATTATGATTCTAATAAACTCTGGAAATACTAATAAAATTAATTTGCCATGAAATGTTTGATAGCTACCCAATGGTGGGTTAATTGCCATTGTTGATTTATTGATTTGTTGTATGCCTTTCTTCTCCTCTGAAATAAAGTAATGCCTGATAAAAGTTATCGGCACGTGTCTTCCTTGGGCTTCATAAAATATTTTATATATCCATTCACTTTCTAAACAAAAACCACACACCATGGCACTCTTCATATCCTTTTCCAAAAGTAAATGTTCAATTGTTAATGTTGTTGGCGAATTAAACAAATTCTTTGGTTGATTTTTAATTGTATTTAAATAAAACGTATTGGATAAATAATAATTCTCACCTATAATCGTACAAAATGTTGTTGCTTCATTCGGTTTTTGTGATTTATTGGTTGATTTAATTGGCGTTATATTATTTGTTTTTGAGTTTGCGGCTGTAGCTGGAGTTGGAGTTGTAGTTGTAGTTGTAGTTGTAGTTGTAGTTGTTGCTGTGTGTTTGTTTGCTGCGCTATTAATATTTTCCTCAACATCTGTTTCATCGTCCTCATCATCTTCCTGTTTTTCTAATTGAAAACTGTTTTTCTTTGGTGATTCTAATTTAGTAGGAGTGTTTATTGAAAAATTATTTTTTTGTTTCTTTATAACTTGGGTAGTGGGAATATCTTCGTCAGTATCATCATCAATTTCTATTACAATTCTCCCCGACATAATACAATTATAATTTTTAGTAGTTTGGTTCTAAAAAATAAATGAAATGAAAAAAAAAAAAAAATTATGAAAAATAAAAAAAAAATTTTAAAAATAAAAATAAATTAAAAAAAAAATTAAAGAGATAATTATTACATTTTATTATTACTATTATTATTATTATGATAATTTGTTATTAAATTAAAATTAATTATTTAAAAATACATATTATTATTACTGGATATTATTATTATTATTATTATTATTTTTTTTTATAAAAAAAAGTCGGTCTAATTTTAAAATTATCTATCTAAAGAATTTAAAAATGATTGCAAGGAATAAGATCAAACCAAAAGTTGAATAAATAACGATTCTAAAAATGTAGAAAAAAGAAAATTAGATGAGATTATAAAATTTAAAATTTTAAAAAAATAGTGTTAACTTACCTTTGATTTTTTTCATCTAAATTTTTAATTGGGGTTTGTAAAACTATTTGTTCAATGGTTTTTTCTCTAATTAAGATTGTGTTGGTTTTAATACCTTCGCTAATAGTATTAAGTTTAATTTTTAAAGTTGCTGAAGCGCCAATGCTTGAATTGTTTGAATGATTGATATTGTTGATTGTTTTTTTATAAGCAGATGGTGATTTTAAAATTACAGATTCATTATTATAAGTTCCACCTACGGTTGTTTTACTCTTACTGTTGTCCACTGTGCCATGGTAAACTACTGTTCCAGTATCGCTATTACCGTCAATCGAACCGTGAATAATAACTGATCCAGAATCATAGTTTGCAGTGTCTGTTCCTTTACCAAATACGCCTGGTTTATAAACCACTGTACCTGAATTATTGCTAGTACCATTTGGACCGATAGAACTACTTAATCTATTTACAACTACTGGTCTTAAAGTATCATTTGGTTGTTCAACTTTGCCGATTGATTTTCTCTTTTTGTTTTTGAATTTCATGGCAGTAGCAGTAATTTCTTTAAGGGCATCTGGTTTAGCACCCATAATAAATGGATGATTTAACAATAGTTCGGGGGTTGGTCTTTCATCAACACTCTTTGTTAAACATAAATCAACAAATGAAACGAAATCCTTGCTCCATTTCTTTGGGTCTTTTAGTGTTGGTGAAGGTCTTCTTGGTACCATATACATAGCTCTCATTGGATTAACATCTGATAATCTAATAAATTAAATTAAATAATATTAGTATTATATTATATTATTAATATACTATTTTAAATAAAATTGTTACTTACGGTGGATCGCCATCAGCTAATTCAATGGCAGTAATACCCAATGACCAAACATCGACTTTTAAATTATATTTTGATTGATTTAAAACCTCTGGTGCCATCCAGTATGGTGTACCTGCGATGGAACCCTTTGAAAAAGTTGAAATAATTTGTTGTGAAACACCAAAATCGGCTAATTTGGTTTGACCTTGATCTGTAAGTAAAATGTTGGCTGCTTTGATATCCCTATGAATGATCTGTTTTGAATGAAGGTACACTAAACCCTGTAATGCCTGTTGGCAAATCAAAGCGATTTCACGTTCCTTTAATGTTTTACCAATCGATTGCATAACATCATTTAATGATCCCAATGCACAGTAATCCATAAGGATCCAAAGTTTACTCTTTAATCTACAGGATCCAAAATAACTAACAACATATGGATTGTTGCATTTCTTTAAAATTTGAATTTCCTTTGTAATTGGTTCCACATCATCTGCTTCGAATATGTCAAACTCTTTAATTGCTAGTGGTATACCCGAATCTTTATGTGTTGCTCTGAATACTGATCCAAATGATCCCTCGCCTAATTTCTCTTCGACATTAAATGAATGTGGTCCACTCCAATTAAAATCAACATCAACGTGCACTCTATGCTGACACTCTTTTGGTTTCGAAATGTCGATCTCTATTGGAAAAAAAAAAGTAATAATAAAGTTAGTTATTTATTTATATTTTTTGTGTTTATTATTATAATAATATATTAATTTCCCACCTTTTGGATTTGAGTTACTTCTAAACAATCTAACCATTTTCTTTAATAGTCGCTAATTAGAATTTTGGTTTTGATTATTTTCTTTTAAAAAAATTGAAATAAATATTTTAAAATATTGGATATGATTATTTGAAAATTATTATTATTATTAGAAATTAAAAATTAAAAATATCTTCTGATTGTGTGTAATTAAATAAAAATAAATTGTTGATTTGTTTTAATGTTATATTAAATATTGAATAAATAAAGTGATTATGTAAAATACAAATAAATAAATATGGTTTAAAATATGAAAGAATGTGTGAGAAAAAAAATAAAAAAAAGTTTTTTAAATTATTTTAAAAAAAAATAAAAATAAAATAAAATTAAAAAAAATAAAAATAAAAAAAAATTAAATTTATTTTTTTTATAAATGAAAATAATAAATGTGTATATTAGAGCTGAAATAAATAGAATTATATAAAAAAGAATAGATATAAAAAACTCTACAAATTGTTTTTTTGGGGGTTTGAACTTTTTAAAAAATTTTTTTTATTTTTTTACATGTAATATCTTTATAATATTATAATTTTTTTTTTTTGGGGTTTTTTTTTTATTATTATTTTATATTTATTCTTTGATTGGTTTTTCTGATGGTTGTTTGACTTCTTTGGCATCACTTTGGCCTTTGGCCCAATCGGCTGAATCAAAATATTTCTTTTCCTATATAAAATAAAATTTGAATGATTAATACAATTTATTCCATCTCGATTACTTTTTTTCTTTTTTTATAATCTATGAAATTTCAATAATTGAATATTGATATAATTACTACTAACCTTCTTTTGTAAAAGTTGAACTGATGGTTTTGGTAATCTACCATATTTTTCAAAAAATTTTTGTTCTTCTTCAGTCATTGGTGGCTATTTTAGAAAAAAATAAAAAAAGAAGTTAGTGAAAGTTTATATAATTTGTATTTGTATTGATGTGGTTATTATAAACTATTAGTTATCTTATTTTTTATATTAATATAAAGTTGTTACAACTGTAGCACTAGATAGGATAACTAATATAACTATAAATAAATTTTACTATTTGAGACATACTTTAGTATCTGGGTTTGACATTTTAATCTATTTATATATATATGTTTGAATTATGTATGATTGGGTTATAATTTGTAAAATATGATATGTTTTATTTCGAAGTTTATTTATGAATTCGAAATATTATATTTGTTTATATTTTGTTTATTTTTTTTAATTAATAAATGGTTGAATTTGAAGTAAAAAAAAATTTTAAAAAAATTTTAAAAATTTTGTTTTATAAAAAAAATTTTAAAAAAAAATAAAAAAAAAATTTATTTTTTTTTTATTTTTTTTTTATTTTATTTTTTTTTATGTTTTTATTATTTTTTTTATTTGAAAGCTTTAAAAAGAAGAAATAGAAAAACTAAAAAAAAAAATAAAGAGAGATTGAGGGTGAAAAAAAAAATAATCTATATTTAAAATTGTTTATGTGTAAAAAAAAAAAAAAGTAAAATTAAAATAATATGTAAAAACACACAAAAAATAATTAATTATTTATTCAAATTCAAATTATTTTTATTTTAATTTTGGTATTTATCCAACATATATAATTTAAAAAAAAATAAATTTAAAAAATAATATTAAAATTAAAAAAAATTTAAAAAAAATTAAAAACATAAATATTAAAAAAAAAAAAAAAAAAAGTGGTTATTTTGGTTATTTATTGTATACAAAAACACCCACACTCATACACACACCTTAATATTCATATATATAAATATATACATAAATATATATTTACATATACACACACATATTCCTACATTATATAATAATAATAATATTTATTTATTTCTCAAACAAAAAAAAAGAAATATAGAAATAATTATCCTGTAAAATTTTTGTATTTATATTTAAAATCATAATAAAATTTAAAATATCATAAAATATCACAATAAATCATAATATATCATAATAAATAAACATAATAATAATGGATACAATATCATCAGCACCACCTCCATCATCAGAATCTACACTAAATAGTATAATTACTTCGTCTTTAAATCCAATACAGACAACATCAGATAGTAGTAATGGTAATATTAAAGTTATAGATAGCAGTAATAGCATAGATGATTTAACGTCAACATCAATAACCTGCAATACAACTACAGATACCATAACAAAAACAACAACAACAACAACAACAACTGGCAAAACAATAGAAGAGACTATCATTAAAACTGAAGAAAATATTACAATAAAAACAAAATGGAACGGTAAAGAATATAAAGTATTAATTAATAAAAGCAGTACAGTGTTCGAGTTAAAGAGACAGTTAGAAACAATGACAAATGTATTATCAAAAAGACAAAAAATATTGGGGTTATCAAAAGGTAAACAACCAACTGATGATATGGTAATTGGGACATTATCAATTCAAGACGGCCACAGTGTGATTATGATGGGTACTCCAGAATCAAATATTATTGCAGAAACACCAAAGGATATAGATGACGAAGTATTTAATGATTTCGAATTTGATTATATCCCGGACTCTGATGAAATCTCTCACATTGAAAAGAACAAAATTCAATTAAATGAAATGAAGTTGAGATGTGGTGACATCTCTTTAATTAATGAACCAAGACCAAATAAAAAGCTTTTAGTTTTAGATTTAGACCATACAATTTTAGACTTCAAAGATCAAGATGTGGAAAGTAAGTGTAATCTTATCATAAAGCTTTAATAGTTATGCATATATTAACATTGTAATAAATATTATATTATTCATAGATATGAAAAGACCTCATTTAGAAGAGTTTTTAGTTCAGTCATATCAAAACTATGACATTGGTATTTGGTCACAAACAAGTTGGAAATGGATTGAAATTAAATTAACAGAGTTGGGATTATTGACAAATCCAAAATTCAAAATATGTTTTGTAATGGATCAAACTTTAATGTTTAAAGTAACATCCTATCGTAATGTTAATGGTAAAGAAAGAACTAAAATCAAACATCAAGTTAAAGCTTTAGAAATCATTTGGACTCATAAACACCTTGGAAAATTTTTTACCTCAAAAAACACTCTTCATGTTGATGATTTAAGTAAAAATTTTGCAATGAACCCAAAAAATGTAAGTTATTTTCAAAACCAAAACCTTTTACTGTTATATAAACTCATTTTAATAATATTAAATTATTTCTCTTTATTACAGGGAGTTCATGTACCACCATTCAAAATTAAAGACGCAAAAAAGTATGGTGATAGTGTGCTTTTTCATTTAACAAAGTATTTGAATAATATTTCAAGTGAAGAGGATTTCACCAAAATTGATCATAAAGAATGGATTAGAAAGATTCTCTAGATCTTTTCTTTTGTAAAATTTGCAAATTATATAGCTTAAAAAAAACAAAAAAAAAATAAAAACATCTTTTTTTTTCTAAGCTCACATTTTCTTTATTTATAGATTATGAGATAATCAAAGAGCCCAACAATTATTTCTATTTTATTTTTTATTATATTTTCTCATTTTATTTATATTTTATAGAGTAATAAATAAAAACAAATTAATTGTTTTTATAAAACAATTTAAAAATTTACAAATTTATTTTAATTTATTTATTTATTTACAATTTTTTGATATATAGCTTAATATTTATTTTTAATAGCATCCCAAGTTTCCACCGCTTCCAATTAGACCATCAACAAGATTGCCCACAGTTCCAGCAACAGACCCAACTAAAACACCTGTGGTATTTAAAACACCACCAACCAAGTGTGGGACAGTCCCGTTATTATCACAGCCACTACCACATTGTATACTATTTGAACCTAATACCAATGAATGGTTTAATGATGATTGTGATGAATTTAAATTTTTGTTTGATTTGATACTTAATGAAACAAGTGAACCTATAGAATAAATATTTATAGAAATATTAGTTAATGAACATATATTTTAATTTTATTGATTTTTTATAGTTTTTATTTTACCTAATATTGTCATTTTATTTTGTTTATAGTTGTTTTTTTAATAAATTGAGTTTTTATTTATTAATGATGAATAATATAAAAATCTATTTATACTTTTTTTTTTTTCTATTTTTTATTTCTTAATTAAAATTTTATAAAATAAACCCATTTTTTTTATAACTACCTTTCCTTTTTTAAACATACACTAACGAAATGATTGTTAGTGTAATTTTATAATAATCATTTTTATATTATAATTATTATTATAATTCTTCCTATTCTTTATTATTTTGAATTTTATTACCTATAAATTCTTTGTATGTGTGTGTGCACTCGTATTTAAACACACAACACACATTCACCCAAATATATAAAATTTGTAAAAAAATTAAATATGTAAAAAATTAATTTTTTATTAATTCTAATTAAATTTGTATTCTAAAATAAAATTATATTATTCAATGATTTTCTATACTATTTAAATGATATCTTTTTAATATAGTGTAACGTTTAAATATAGAAAAGAAATAATGATTTTATTTTTTATATATCTATAGTATTTGCTCCAATCATAAATTTGTATTAAAAGTGTATAGTTAACAATATTTACTTAAAATTCTTCCTTTTTTATTAAAAAATATCACATAATCACATAATAAAAATGTCATGTGTATGCACCGGTGTTCATGTGTGTGTTATTTTTTCTTTTTTTTTCAAAATATCAAAAAGAACCCCCACCATAATGAATACAATTTAATAAAAGTAAATGATTATATTTTGAATGATATAGCTCAAATAAGTAAAGTATTAATGCAAGAAAAAAAATTCAATAAATAATTAAAAAAAAAACTAATTGTAGATTTAATTAAGTTTCTTTTAATTACAAATTGTTTAAGAAAAAAAAAATATAAATATTAAAAAATTTAAATTTATTTATTTCATTCAATTAAAAAATAAAATTAATTCTTATAATTAAATAAAAATTTTAAAATGACAATATTAAGTATAGTATTAAGATTACAATATATTTATCTCCTTTAAATAAATATAAATTCTAACAAAAAATCAAAATATAGGTACAATTTCGTCAATTGGTAATGTTAGGTCAATTAGTAAATCATCCAATACTATTGCCGTGTCAGCATTAACAGCACAAACATCAAGTAATAGTATACAGTGTGGTTGTGGAACAAGTGGTGGCAAATTGTTAGTTGGGGATATTTTTATTTACACTGGTGCATTTATTGGCTCTTTTATGGTTAGTTTTGGTTCTTTGATTAACAACATCGCAGGAAGTAGCCGAGGGGGATGCGGCTGTAACTAAATTACAAATTTTATTGGTCGAAATGTTTCTATAAATATATTATATAAAATATAAAATATAAAAATAATAAATAAAATAATATTAGAATTAATAAATATTATATAAACTTTTTTATCTTGAAATATTTTAATAAATAAATCAATATTTAATATAAATTTTATTATTTTTTTAATATTTTTTTTTAATAAATAAAGGAATAAAAGATCTATAAAACATAATTAATTACAACCATAGTTTCCTCCATCTCCAATTAGGCCATTTACAAGACCTCCTACTGTGTTTCCGACTGTATTAACTAAATCACCAGTGGTTAATAAAACACCACCTACCAAATGAGGAACTATGCCAATTGGACCACACCCACTTCCACATTGTATTTTGTTTGATGATTGTAATGATTTCGATATTGAAAATGAAGAGGAAGAATTTGTTTTATAAATAAAACTAAGGTTACTCATTGAAGAAACTGAACCTATAAAAATAATAATTAATAAAAAAAATATAATTATTTTTATTTATTATAATTAATATTTACCAATTAATGTCATTTTATTAGTATATAAATTTTTTTTTGATGGAACGAAAAAGAATGAAATTATAAAAAGTATTAAATATATTTTTTTTTTTAATTTTGTTTTTTTTTTTCTTAATTTATATAATAATTTTTTATTTGATTATTATAATAAAATCTATAAATTTTCTATATATACTTTTTTAAAATCAATAGAAAATAAATATGGTTTAGCAGTTAAAAATAGAACATACAAAAATGGTACAACTTTTTTATTGGAACAAATATAAAAAATTGGTTAAGTTGTTTTTAATTTTAAGAAGCTTAATTTAGTTATAAAAGAAAACTACAAATTTAACCTTGTGTAATATAATTACAATATTATTGAGGTTTATATTTAAATAATTTTTTTTTTAATTATTATAATTTTTTAATTTTTGAAGTGGGTGTAAGAGTTTTTTGGGGAGTTTAAGAATTCATAATATCTATTATCAAAAAAAATAAACTACAACTTTATTAAATTAAAAAAGTGGATTAAACAGTTTTAGAATTTAATTATGTGTTGTAAATATAAAAATTTGTTTTTTTTAAAAAATAAAGAAAATATAAAAAAAATCAAGGCAAAAAAAAGTGTTTGTTAAAATTAAAAATATAGTTACATATTTGCGTTGCAATATTTGTAACAATAACTGTAATATTATTTTTATTATAGATATTTTTTAAAAGCTTGTTGCATTATCCCTAAACAGATACTTTCAGTTGACCCTTTACTTTTTAATATTAGTTGATTTTCTTTTCTTTTGATATAGCATTTTTTAAAATCTTTATCGGTCACTGGATACTTAAGATAAAGGATATCATCTTTTTCTAAGTTTTTGGCACCACTACTATTAGTATTATTATGAAGAGTTATTGTTTTATCTATTTCATCTCCTTCTTTCCAATTAATATTAAAAATAATACCTGTTCCTTCAAAACTATCTGAATAAAATGGATATTTTTCACAATATTTATTAAATAAATGTTCGTTATTTTGCATTTGGTTTTTAATTATTGAAATTAATTGGCTAGCTATTAGCTTTGGAAATTTATAATGTATATAGTTAACATATTCACTAGTTAACACCATTGAATTATTTATAATTTGGTTGGTAGTTGATGTTGTGGAAGTTGATTCATCAGTTTCGGAATCATATTTATAAATAATATTTTTATTACTAAAATTAATTATTTTGATTTGAAATTCATTATTATTTTCAATTATATTATCTATATTATTTATATTTATATTATTTATATTATTATCCATATTATTATTTATATTGGTGGCTGTTAAACTTTCTTCTTGTGTTTTTAATTGATTAAAAATTGATGAATAGTTATAATTTTCATTTTTATTTGAAAATTTAATTGTATTGAATAATAAATCTAATTGTGGAATTGTTGTTTTGATATACCTGATAAAGTTTTCAGTTTGGTCTCTATCATTGAAATCGACTTTAACAATATGTAGTTTCTTTAAATGGGGGGAAAATTTTTGTTGGGAAATTTTTTTTTTTGTAATTTCTGGGAATCTTGATGTTATAAATACTGTAAAACCTAGATCTAAAAGATAAAAAGCAATTTGAAAACCTAAACCTGTTCTTCCTCCAAGTACTAATGAATATTTAAATGGTGCAATTGATCTCACATTACCCACATATGTGTTTTTTAAATTATAAAAACCTGAACATCTATTTCCTTCAGGAGAGCAAAATTTTTTGTGATTACCATCAAAAAATCGGTGTCTTCTACAAGCTTTACATTCGATTAAAGTTTTTGTTAAAATATCAAATTTTTCCTTAAAAGATATTTCAAATAATTCTGGATTTTCCAATAAATAATATGGATCATCAGAAACTGCTTTACATCCGAAAGTTTCATTTAAAAAATCTTTCATTTGGGCGATACTAAGGCCTTCTTTTTGCCGCTGCTCATCATAAAAATCATAGGAATCAATCGCTACGTAAGATGAATTTCTTTCTTGGACATATTCTTTAATTTTGCTAAATGTAAAGAAGCCTCTTTTTAAATATTTGGCTACTCGGTATCTTTCGGGTTGGTTGAAAATTTGACCTCCGATATTGTACCTTTTATTGTATGAGTCAATTGATTCTCTATGCATAAACACATTGGACCCATCATAAAACACCATAGCACAATTCATATCGAATGAAGAAAGTAAATGATCCACGGATTTGTATATTTTGGTGATAAATTGAATTTTTCTTTGTGGGTAAGTTCTGAAGAATGTTAATGCATTTCGTGTTCGAACATATAAAAATGAATTTTCAAAAAGCGGGTTGGCTTCTCTATAATTTGATTTAATATTTTCAATAGATTGATAAATTTTCATTTTGGCACTATTTAAATCTTGGCCTATAAACCATATATCCACATCGCTACCAAGGGTGGGTGAATTTTGACCAAAGAATCTATCAACAAGTAATTCTTTTAAACGGGAGCTTTCAAAAACAAATTCCATAAATTTTCTTACTAAAAGCACCGGCATTTTTGATTTGTATAAATATCGCTCGATTGTTTTATAATGGATGAATTCTTTTTTAATTGCGATCGGTAGTGTATCGAGACATGCAGAAATGGAGCCACCTGAAACTATTACTCTAGTTTCATCAGTTTCTTCACCCCAGTCAAAATTTTTGAATAAACCGCTGCTAAAGACACCAAAGCACAGCTTAAACAACTCTAATGAGGGCGAGATTGAATAGTTCCCATTTTTAGGTGGACGGTAGAAATCATAGTCTTTTAAAGAATCACTCCCATATTTGAATTCTTCTGGGTTGTTTCCGAAATCACTTTTGAATATGTTCTTGTTGCAATATAAATCTGGTTTTAAATAAAAACTATGGTTGAAAACCTCTTGGTCATAAACTTTAATGATTTCGTTACTATTGTAAGGGTTATTATTATTATTATTATTATTGTTTTTTTGATGAAGAAAAAAGTTTATCGTTTTTATGTTTATATTATTTTCAATTGAAATTATTTGTGCTGAGTATTGCAGTTGATAGCTATAAAAATTATATTTTCTTATTTCTATTTCAACACTTTGATCTATAAATTTTAAATAATCACTAATGTCACTATTTATTGAATAATATTTATCTTTGTTATTGATTCTTTTATAAAATGAATGAATTGATTTAATATGCTCCCTATTATTGATTTTTGTTAAAAGATTTTTATAAATTTCTTTTATTTCTTTTATATCTGATTTTTTATTTCCAACTAAATAATTTAAATGTGAAAATATATAAATTGATAATAATTTGAAAATTTTATTGTTATTGTTATTGCTAATTAAATATTCATCAATTTTTTGATTTATTAAACCACTATCTATATATTTGAAATTATTTAATAATCTAGAAAAAAAATTAGATGGGCCAGTAACTCCTTTTGGATATAAAAAAAGCAAAAGATATAATTCCTTATAACCTTTATACAAATATGCTTCAATTAGATGATCGCTTATGTTTTTTAATTTAAAAGGTTGAGTTTCTTTGATGACTGTGACACTACTGCTATTTTCACTGTTGCTATTATTTTTGTCAATATTACTACAATTATTATTACCATTATTATTATCAGTATTGTTATAATAATTTTTAGAATTACAATTAACACTATTGTTTATATTATTAACTACATAGTCTATTTTTGCTATATCATCATTGGCTGTTTTAATTTTCTTTTTATCATTTCCATTTAAACTGTCATATGTTTTTTTTCTTTTTAAATAATTTACTATTGAACATGATTTGTAATTTTCTTTATGATGAACAATTTCTTTATTGTCAACTACTTTTTTATATTTTACACATGGATGGGGTATTAAGTGTAAACTGATTGGTTTATCCAATAAAGTTAATTTAGAAAACTCCTTTATAATGAGTTTTTTGATATTTTTTTTTGAAAAGTATTCCAAGTATCTAATGTTTATTATTGAATTTTTTCTCAATGTTCCTTCAGGAGGATTAATAACAACTAGTCTATATTTGTATAAAAAATCATTTACAATACTATTTCAGAGTTAATATTTGAGTATTCTATGGATAATTATAAAGCTTTAGTTTAATACATACACTGATTTTATTGTTTTATTTTTTGAATATTCCAAATCTTCGATTTGAACCACTATGTTCAACTCTCTATAATTAAGTTCAATATATTCATAAAAAAAAATTGAAAGTGCTTCATTTTTTATTAATTTTAATTTCTCCATTATTATATTTGTGAAGAGGTTAAAAAAAAATAAAAAAAAGATCTTGAAAAAAAATAAAAAAATAAAAATGAAAAAAAATTTTAATTAAAATTTTTAAAAAAAAATTAATTTCAAGGAAATCTTTATTTACTTTAAAAAAAAAAATGGTATTCTTTTTTTAGCCATTATTCCAGTTACTATTGACTGTATTTTAAAAAAATATTTCAGATTCTTGTTTTATTTTTTATTTTATAACCAAGAGAAAAGAAATGATACAAACAGATAAAAAAATTTGCATAATTATGAAAAAAAGAAATTAAGTTTTAAAAAATTAATATTAAAATTAATTAATATTATGATTTTTATTTTTGTATTTTAGCTAAATATAATTTTAATTGATTTTGGTACATCTTTTAAATATTTTTTAGTATATTGTTTTGATATTTTTAAAATTTCTAAATTACAGGGTAATAATTGTGCGCTTAAAGGATAGTTAAAATTTTTACCAAATTCTAATTGTCGAATGTTTGAATTTGAAATGGAACCTTTTTCTATTGGTTGGTTGAATGCATCACCAAATTTGAGTGTGGTTATAGATGATGCGATGATACCACATTTTATAGGTTGGTTAAATATATCACCAGTATCTAGGCTTGTGATATGGTCAGGAATTGAAGAAATTGAATTTAGGTTATTAAAATCTTCTCTAAATTTGAGGGTTTTAATTGTTTTAGGTATGCTTGGAATAACTTTTGATACTTCTAATGTTTTAACCCAGTTTGGAACGTTATCTAAATCTTTAAAGTAATATCCAACTGAAACTGTATGAAGAGTTTGAGGGAATACATGACTAACTATTTTTTGAAATGAGCATGGTGAGAATCTTATGCTTTCCAATTGGTTTGGTATAATACCCATTTTATCGATGGCCCAATAAAAACTATTACCTAAATTCAAATACTTTAAACTTTGAGGTAGTACTCCACGTTCTATAAGTTGAGAATAGTGAAAACCAAGCTCTAAGTGCTCTATATTTGGGGGGAGTGATCCTATAAACATTGGTTGGTTAAATTTAGATACAAAAATTAAATTCTTTAAAGAGTTGGGTAACAGTGATCTTTTGGTGTTTTCGCAATAAATTGGACAATTAAATGCAAATAATTTTAACTTTTCTAAAGAATCTGGAAGTATTGATTGATAGCTTGTGCCCTCTTCTACTAATGAATGATCCCAACATACTCCTAATGTTAAAGATTTTAAATTTCTAGGTAATACTTTTCTTGATAATGGTTTATTAAATGAATGACCTCTATACAACAAATAATATATTAATATAAACTAATCATTAAAATAAAAAATTAATGGGTGGCTATACTTACAACTCTAATGATGTAACTGAAAAGGGGATACTATTAACTTGAATGTTTTTATTAAAACCATAACCTAGAGTTAAATTTAAAATACCATTTGGAATACTTTGATTTGGTATTAGTTCTTGATTAAACATATGTCCCAATGTTAATGTTTTAACAGAACTTGGAATCATTCCTTTAACCAACAGTTTATCGAAACAATGACCGAAACAAATCTCTATTACTGAATTGGGAACTCTAAACTCTTTAATAGTATGGTTAAATTGATACCCGAATGTAATTGCTTTAATTGTTGGACTTAATAATAAGTTTCTTGGTATCTTTTCGTTAAAATCTTGATCGAATGTTAAATTTGATATGTATTCCCTCATTGGGTGATAGTAAAACTCTTTTAATGAACTAATTTTACACTTGTCGTTTTCTTCTAATAATCTTACATGTTTAAATATTTCTTTAACAATAACTAGATTATGAAAGATTTTAAAAAACACAGTCTCTTGATTTGATAAAGTTCTTAATTTTTTTATTATTACATTTGAACTATTCGAGTTCTTATTGTTAAGAATAGCTGAGTTATTATTAATAGTATTTGTAATTGTTATTGTGGAAACTGACATTTTTATTATTAAAATTTTTTTATTTTTTTATTTTTTTATTAAACTTTTTTTAAAAAAACATATGTATCTATAAAAATTATAAAAAAAAGAATTTAATTTATATTTATATTAAAAAAAAAAAAAATAGTTAGATAAAAAAAGTAAAAAAAAAAAAAAATATTAAAACAATATTTTTATCTATTATTTATATTATTTTCGAATATATTTATTATCACTATTTCTAAATTAGTATGGCTTACTTCTTTATATGTAATTGTGGGGTGGTTTTATTATCGCAAAAAATATTTTTTGGGAATGCGTAGGTGTGTGGTGTTTTGGGAAGTGGGTTTTATTTTTATTTTTATTTTTATTTAATTTTATTTAAAGTTATTAATTTCAAATATTGGAAGAATATAATAATATTTCTTTATTTATAAATAATTATTTATATGATTGAAAAAAAAAAAAAAAGGGTTGTTTAGAATGGGCAATCATTTTAAAAATATCTTTTTTGAAAAAAAAAAAAATAAAAAAAAATAAAAATAAAAAATAAAAATAAAATTAAAAAATTAAAAATAAATTTTTTAAAAATAATAAATTTTTTTGATCCATTTAGTAAAAAAACTAAACAACAAAATTAAATCATCGGTTTTTAATTTCAAAAAAAAATACAACAAATAAAATTGAAAACAAAAAAAAAACTCTACAGATTGCAAAAAACATAAATTAAAGAAATAATCCCATTTTTAATAAATTTTTTAAATATTATTAAACATAAATTAAAGAAATAATCCACCTTTAATTATTTCAATAATTAATTTTTATATTATTGTTATTCTTATTATTCTTATTACCATTATTGTTATTGTTATTACCAATGTTTATATTTAATTTATAATCATTATTTAGAGTTAGATTTGTCAAAGACGATGGCAAAATATCGGACGTCAACTGCTGGGAAAAAAACTTTCCAAACTCTGGTTATTTATTAAACAAAATGAAAATAAAATAAAAAAAAGCAAGAAAAGAAAAGAAAAGAAAAGAAAAGAAAAGAAAAGAAAAGAAAAGAAAAGAAATAAATATTAATAAATTATTTTATTTTATTTTATTTTATTTTATTTTAAAATTTTAAATAATAAATGTTATCATATGTTTTATATTTACCTAAATGAGTAATTGTATTTGGAAAAATATTATTATTAATATTAATATTATTATTATTGTTGTTGTTATTATTATTACTATTATTATTGGATAATAATTGTTGATTAAACATATGAGAAAAAGAGAGTGATTTTAAATTGCATGGTAATACATCTTTATCGATTGGTTTGTTAAATTTAAACGAAAATCTAATAGAGGCCAATGAGTCGGGGAATAAACCTTTAGAAATCTCTTGATTAAAACTGTAACCCAAATCAACATGTTTTATATGGTTTGGAATAGATCCTATTGGTATTGGGTCATTGAAATTCTTTTCAAAAGATAGTTTTTCAATTGATTTTGGAATTGATAAAAGATTTATATTATTATTATTTTTATTTTTATTATTATTATATATACAATTGTTATTATTATTTACAAAATTATTTACATCTTGATCATCATCAGTTGGATTAATTAAACCTGAACCAACTTTTAAATGTTTTAAATTTAAAGGAAGATTATTACAATTGATAACTTGAGAGAAATCATTTTTGAATGATAAATAAGAAACTGATGAAGGAATTGAACCATTTAAAATTGGTTGGTTGTAAAATGAACCAAATTTTAATGTTTTTAAATGATCTGAATGGATTGGTAATGAGCCAACTTCTAATTGTTTGTTGAAGAACTTTCCAAAACGTATATAGGCTAAACTTGATGGCATACTATCGATTTGTATAGCTTGATTGAATCTTTCACCAAATTTTAACTTTTTTAGTTGTGGAGGTAGTGAACCCTTTTGAAGTGGTTTGTTAAAGCTGAAAGAGAATTGAATAGATTGAACATTCTTTGGAATTGCATTGACTGGTATGTCTTCGTTAAAAAAATATCCAAATGAAATATTTGTTAAATAAGATCTATATTTGAAATTGGCTAATGATTTTAAATCTTTGAATTCATAATTTAAATATAAATTGAAAAGTACAACATGTGAGAATATCTCTTTTCTTAAAACAATGTTTCTCCAGACTTTAAAGAATAGAATTTCATCATTACTTTGTTCTATTTCTTGACTATTATTTGTACTATTTACATCAACACCAAATATAAAATTATTATTATCGTTATTATTATTATTATTATTATTATTAGTATTATTATTATTATTAATATTTGTACTTTTAATTAATGGTGATGATAATGGTGTTGATTTTTGAAAATTATTTTGATTAATTTTAGCTTTTTCATGTTGTTGCTCTTTTAATGGTGATAGTAATGATGTCGATGAAGATGATAGTAACAATGGTGATGATAATAATGTTGTTGATGAAGATGATGAGTTTAATGATGGTGATGGTGATGAACAAATTTGATATGATT